TAATGGAATGTACAAGGACCTCATATAATATTCTTCTGGTGAGTTACTAGGGGGATTTGGCCTTTGAGTTTGTCGTTTAGATATTCGTGGATGTTTTGTAACAACATCATGTTTTTTCATTAGTTCTGAAGCTTCCTTATAGATTTTATTAAAATACTGACTACAATTTGTGCGTTTATCGGTTAAGTTATCCAAAACCAGTTGAATACTATCTGTTGCACTAATAAAATCCCTTTCTTTCCCCTGAAGACATTTGCTAATAGGTAATGTAATACTCAGTATATTTGTTAGAGTAAACAGAGTTAAAATAAATTCACAATTCTCTAAAGCACTTATCAACATTTTGGCTTTGGTTGCAGATTCAGATTCTGACCATTCAGATACTGTACTTAATGCAACAAGTATGTCTGAAAATGAGGAAGTAAACAATAAAATACTGTCATGTCTATCAATCCAGCGCGTTTCACATACAGTTTTTAAAGAATGGTTTTTCAAAATACTTTTTAGTACGAAATTCCTTTTTGAAGAAGAATTTAAAAAAGCAACTACTTCTTTGATAATACCTACAGAATTCCTTACAAATTGTACTGTTGACGATTTGGATATACATAAATTTAATGCATGATTTGCACATGGACTATAGATTGCATTTTTTGCAAACTTTTGAATGTGCTGGACAGCACCACGAGCTTTTGATGTCATAACAGAACATCCATCAGTTGTGATTCCAATACAATCATGTAGCTCTAATGAAAATTTCTTTAACAAATCTATAACAATTTGGCCTAAATGTTCACCAGATAATTTTGGTTCAATATTTTCACTACTATCTAGTTTGCTATATGCTTCTTGATGACAATCAATGAATTCAATAAAATTCTCTTTAATTTTATCATTAACAACATAACGTAAAACCAAACTCATTTGTGATACATGCGACAGATCCGTAGTTTCATCAAACATTATGCTGTAAAATCTATTTTCTTTTATTTCTTTGATAATTTCTGATTGTATTTCTTCCTTAAAACAATCAATTAATTGATTTTGAACATTAGAATTAATATAAGTTGCTTTTGAGTGTGTTGTGAGTAAGTGTTGTTCTAATATTTTGTCACCTGATTTAACCCTGTATCTTAAAAGTTCTCTAAAGTTCCCTTCATTTTTCATTTTATGGTGATTGTCATTTGCAAATAGAGCTCCATCATCTCTATGTCCACGCAATGGAATATTTTGTTTCCCCAAAAACATTATAGATTGAATTATAGGTTTTAAACGTTCTCTATTTTCAGTAATTTTTTTCAAACGATCTGCATTAACCAAGTTTAAAATATTTTTTTTAGGATTAAGAATGGTTGATTTAAATTGATCAGCTCTTTGAAGTGCATATTTGTGGTACAAATTGTTTTGATGTACTTCAAGAAAACCATCTTTACCTAACAATTTTGAAAACTTTTTCAAGGGAGTAGTTACAAGTGTTTTTAAATTTTCCGTTTTGTGTTTTCCTCCTAGATTACTTTCTTTAAATAAAACACAAATTTTACAAAAAAGTCCTTCTTTTGAAATTGAATATGTTAACCATGGATAATTTTTGAAGTGATTTTCTCTAAGAAAACGCTTGCCTTCTTTGCCATTTTTAACATGTACAGAATAAGGATATTCAAAATTAGAAGTTGGGACAGAACTATTTTGATTCACATTCAAGCGTAAATGGTCATCAATTTGAACATTTCCACAGCTAAATAGTCCTACATCCATATTAAAGGGACTTGAATCTTGATCAATTTCAGTCTATAATAATAAAATATAAATAAAAATAGTTTGTCTTACACTCTTACAATGTCATTGTTTTGTATGTATTTATTTGTTTTAACTAATAAGTAGGTAATCACATTTAAAATACATTTTTACAAATAAAATAAAATTGAATTGTTATCTTCAATCAAATGTATAAAATATTTATCTTATAGTTGTTGGTAACTGCTAAAAAAATACATTAACGAATAATATTTAAGTAAGTAGTAGACACTTACAGTTTTAGCAATTTTAGAAGGAACAGTTTCTGTGTTGCTGGCATTTTCCACAGGACGTTTAAGTTTGTTTTTATCAAAATTAGTCTGAAATTAAATAGTTGACCAACATACATACATATTAAATTCCTATCTAAATTTGTTGTAAACTAAAAGAATGAAGTACCTAATTAACTCACCTCATTAATGTTTGGAGATGGTTGAGAAACCGCTGCACTCGACCTTCTTACAACAAATTTATCCATGACGAACAAAAA